GATTAAATAAACTTAATACAGAACACATAGCAGAAATAATCAAAACGTCAAATGGAGACAAAGACTGTTGGTATTCCCACGTTATTGTTATGGTTACGCAAATATGCATTTTGTATGCAGTACGCCAAGCAGATAAAGGAACGCGGAATACATTATACTATCGACAAAATGTTATAGTGAGGTACAAACGTCAGCCTGTAAGTAACTGTTACATATTTACTGTTTTTGATGGTCAACATTTTCAATCTAGTGAGGACGAAGTCTGTTAGAGGAGATTTCGGTTATAATGACGATAGAGACCACTACGATGGCGTAGTTATATGCGATGACCAACATTCATGGGGTAGGAAAACCAAGAAAAAACAAAAATTATATTCATATCATAAAGCTCATTCTACACTTGAGTTAAAAAAACGTAATCCAATTTACATTGTTTTGACTTTTGTGATGCTAAGACACGTGGAAATGTGTGAAAGCTAAAGTATACTAATATTTCAAAAGAACTGGCACTGTTATTTAACTAGGTAACCTACTAAGACGGTAATTGATTCTTACACTCGTATCTAGTTTTATTTGAGAGTAAGTAATTACTTAAGCAAATATTTTTAACCAATAGCCATACCAATAGCTAATTACAGTTTTCGCTGTGCTATTGACCGTTCTTACTTCATTCAAATTCTCGTCTTATAGTTTAAAATATTTGCATGAGTTATTACTTACACTGTAAAATGTTAACTTTACTATCAGAACATGTATTTAAAATTAGTTTTAATCTTTTCTATATGAATACACCTTGTGTGTTTGTATAGATATTAACTCGTCGCAATAACTGAATAGAATATCTAGGAACTTGTTGCAAATGGTTCATTAAATATTCTTGAAGGTGCTCGACGGCGCAGGGATGCGAAAGTTAAGCAAGTTTCGCGAAGATCGGTTATCTAGATTCTAGAGCTTCACAGTGCTTCGGAAGGCATGTTAAGCAGTTGAACCCGGCTGCGTCTACAGTCATCCACCAAATCCACACTGGATTATAGTCAATCTTCCTATGCAACTTCTTACTTAGTAAAAGGCTTAAGCCCAATAAGACATTAATAGATTGATAGTAATGATGATATCCGAAAATGGGCATTGTATTGTAGTCGCAATAGCCAATTTATTTTATTCTATAAGTATTTTAAATTCTCGTAACTTGTACCGTTATAACTGAAAGTTGTTACAACCGAGGTTATTTATTACAAGTGAAATCTACCGTATCCGAAAACTAAATTAAAAATGTATAACGTTTAATTTAATAAATTTGTTAAATACCAGCCTACCTACCTGATACATGGTTACCCATTTGATAAGTCTATATCGATGGTCCTAAAGTATAAATATTAATATTAATAAATATTTAATAAAAATTAATGGTAACAAAACCTCCATACGGAACAGCTTCGTTGAAGCAGCAGACAATTTTTACTCCCTACAAGGAGATAGTGCGACGACGATAACGACCTTAGAATCCGATGCTAAATAAATAACTCGTTCGCTAACCTCGCATAACTATTTCTTCACAAATCTATTTATATGCATATGTAATCACCTCTGCCTTCCTGCGTAACGACAAGTTCCTCCAGATATCTCGAGGACTCGTCCATCCAACTTTAGTTTTATCAATTCCACTGTCACCGACGCTACTGGCGCATCTTGTTATCTTTGTCTGATATGGAACACCGGCGCCATTACCTCGATTTGCCATTTCATTCAATAGTATCTTTGAAGAAACACTTGGTAAAAAAAACGAAACAAAAACGCCACAACTTCACAAAATGTTCACACATTCAAACATATTAAATTGAAAAGTATGAGTTCACGAAAACAAGCTTCACATTCATACCGCGTCCTGACGTAAATCAACGGCACAATACACTTGTGTTAATGCATTAAACGATCAAACACTGTTACATTTCGCAGAATGAAGAAAACAAATTCAAACGTTAATTAAATTATAAAATCAATAATACCGTTTCCACTGTTCTTTATGAATAGGAAACATATTATAAGACAAATAGACTGTTGTAATATGAAGCAACGTTCACGTCTGTGTCAGTTTGAGGTTAAGTTACTCGCTATACCGGCTGCCTGCTGGCGGGGCAAACGCACCGTGAACACACAGGGCGAAAAGTAAACAGAATTACAACATCTGGAGTCTTAAAAAAAAATCTAACGATCTACGCCACTAAAAAGTATAGATATTCTTAATACAATTATAAAATAAAAAATCCGTTAATAAGATTCTTTCATATATATCCATTTCGTAACTAATCCAAATAAAGTTCAAAGAGTAGAAGGCAAATATTATACTTAATCTAACCATATTTTTTTATATATAAAATTAGTTTACAAAATAATACTTATAAAAAAGCTTTAAAAAATACAGAAATAAATATGTGGACCACATAAACAAATATAATTTTTTAATTAGTCAAAATCACGCCGTGTGTACAGAACCACATTTACTCAGGTACAGTTGAGTTAATTATGGCTATAGCTACGTATGGCTGCAAAAGGATCCAGCCCGTCACACTTCTGCCTACCAGACACACAAAGGCAAGGGCCCATCGTTCCAAAGAATGTCAACTTAAATATGAATGTAAGCTGTTATGAATCTTATACACAAAGGCATACGTTTTAAAATGTTGTACATCTTTTCTGCGGTTACCTTTTTGTGCGACCCCCAGAACAATGCAAAGAAAAAAACAAGACCCGACCGCTTTTGCCGGTTAGTCCAAAAACTGAAACTAAAGATTGTTAATTATAAAAAAAATAATTATAACACTATTATCCATATTATTAAATAAATAGTATAATACAATGAATACATATATTATTTGTAAAATACATATAACTATAAACTGCAAAGGTCCAGTTTTCTCGACGCGGCGAGACGGAACGAGACCTACCGATAACAAAACTGATAGAAGCGACAATTCTTAGAACACAGTTCGTTGTCTATCAAACAAAATGATAAGAAAACCTCCACAAAGAATCTTCAAACGACATACGAATGAATAGTTCATTAATCGGCTCACGATTGACATTACAATAAACAAAAGGTATTAAGATAACTTACATGACATTACTATCTTGTGACCGAAGGGACTCCTAATACTAATTGAAGCATAATTACGAAAAAAATTACTTTGCTACAGGCCGTGAGACTACCTATTAATAATTTTGTTTTCTTAAAGATCTTGTTAACGCCATCTTTATTTATCTATAATCATCTATAATTTAAACAAGAGCCTCATTGCTTTTAAAATAAGGTTTAACGTAGTATCTCCACAAAGAATTCTCAAAGAGTATACGAGTATTATTAATGAGTAGTTCACTGATTTTACTATGAAGCCAAAATAAATAAAAGCTATGAAGATACTTTATGGCGTTAATGTTTAGACAATTTTGAGAGAAATGTAATAGTAACAGTATTAGAGAAAAAAATCTTGAATAAGAAATATTTTACACTGTTCGAGCAAGATATACCTCCTCATCCTGCTAATTCTTTATCGGTAACATACAGTGTACAAATCAAGATGGCAAGAAATTGAGCTTGAATAGAACTTAGGTTTTGATTCTGAAAATTTCAATATATAATTCTTCCGATTATTTTCATTTCAGGTCATGGTTCGACCATGAAACATTTAATGTCTGTTTAGTGAATTCGACACATGAGAGCAGAATGCCCGCCCGATGCCTTAGGTTATTTTTAACCCTGTAACACATGGGGTCAGTCACCCGCCCAACCCCTCCCGCACGCCTAACCAGTCCTATCACAATATGGGAACTGCGTGGGAACATGGTGGGATGACAGCCACGTTCTTACGAAGAAATGATCAAGACAACACAGCAAAGACAAACGGATCAAAACCCGACAGTGATCACGACCGCGTCTAGTTGTAGACCATGAATCACGAGTAGGTCACAAGTCATAAAATGCAAATAATTGGTTCAGCCATATTTTAATGAAAATTACATACATACATCTACTATCAAAAAAGAGTCATCTGAAAGAACAGCACTAGGTAGGTAATGAAAAAAATTAATTAGCAAAAACGTGAGAAGTTAAATAAAAATAAGTTACTAGCTAATAAATAACACAATAATTTAAAAATTTTAACTGAGGAAATATATTGTTCTTAACTATAGTTATTTATACTCAATAAAATATACAAACTTGAGTACCGATACCTCTAACATTAATAACTTAATTACCTGTCTTTTATATAACACCTACTAGAATCTATCAACGACGGCGTTAATTTTAAAATTGTAACGCTAAGAAAACTTTAGAGCAAGAATGCATATACGCGACTCAAACCCTCCGGCTATAAAGACCTATAGTCTATAGTATAGGTTATTGTTTCGTTTGGTCATGATACTTATAACAAACATATTATATATAATGTACAGTATATCATATAACATTATCATGTTAAATGAAGTAGAAATTATAACTTCAAGACAGAGTGCACACGAGCTAGCTATGATGTAACAAAACACCTGATACGGTTATAGCAACGTTGATGTGAGTAAATGTAAACAAAACCAAACGACCCGTCTATTATTAAAAACAATAACATTTACAATAACGCAGTGTCCATTTCATGCACCGAGTGAAGTACGTAAAGTAGATGCAATAAGAAGAACTGTTCTTAATTGCATACCTGTAATCAATACTAAAACAAAAACCATCAGTTACATATGTAAGATGATTAAAGCAATCCTAAACTTAAACAGATGCATTTGCGGTAGAATGTTACAATCATGTAACATTAGGCGGATTTACAATATAAGTATTCCATATATCTATGCTTGCAACATAACATTTCATGGGACCGACAATTATTTTTTTCTAAAATAGCATTACACCTACTTCCCTGTTTTGGTCGGGGTGCGCGCTAACTACGATTAGGGGCGAAATTTTGAGGGTGAAAAAGATGCTCAGCTAGGGGACTCACCGTAGCCGTGTCGGTAAGGGTAACCGTTGCAGAGGTGGGCCCGACATTAGTACCACTACTGTTGGAAATTGAACTGCTCGTCAGTTGATTATTTGAATTTTGCTCTATAATTCGTTGTCGTAAAGCAAGTCTTTCTAAACTTGCCAAACGGTGCGAGCCTCCTGTTCCCTCACGGTCCCGCTCACGTAAACCGGTCGTACTACCAGCACTGAACGATCCACTGTATTTTGGTAGAGTCGGTGGTGGTACAGGCCTAGCTGAACCTCCACGACCCAGCAGCGATCCTGTTGATGTATACGCGTAGCTACTGGGAGTTCCTAAAGTTGCAGTACGAGGAGCTGTTCCGATCCCATTGAGGACTCCGTTGGTACCACTGACGGCGCCTCCATTCACCGTCGTCGTACTCCCGTTCATCTCCTCAAATTACTTTGCGTCATGCGAACAATATCACACACTGAGTCACCGAGTGCGCACTACGATACGATCACAAGCTAAGGCGATTAAGGTGGAGGCGTTCAAGCCGAGTGCCTGTCGGAGGCGGTTTGACAGCTCAAGCGGCGCTGAGGAGGCGCGCGGGCGGAATCACGATACCCCGCGCTCGACGCCGCCGTCGCAGCTCACCGCCGGCCGCCGCGCCAACCCCAATGGGTATCAGGATTATTGCTACACGACCGCCAGACTAGAGGGTTGAAATTGCATTGCTGCTTTGCTTATTCGCTGTCAAGGTCAACGGTTCCATATATAGGATAAGTAGATAGGTAATCAGGAGAACTGGTTATTTGCAGTGTAACTATACATATTTTTTGTTTTCGTTTCTTGACTATTACCGAAATGTAAACCAATGAAACTTTGGCATACAGACACAAAATAGAGAATAAACTAATTCGGATCGATAAAAATACTTTCTATAAAATACGGGACAATAATATAATTTAAAATAACATTTTATCATATCCCACATTTTTTAGAAAAATAGGTGTATTATTAGTAATAACATTATTTGCTGTTTATTTCAAAGTTATTAAGACATTTTTATTACATCTACATTTATATTTATACAATCGTGGAAATGCTAATGTGTCAGTATATAACTTAATAAAATAAAATTATTATACCCACACTAACCTAAACCTACGGTAGTTTTTTATGGAATGTGAGTGAGACAGATTGTAATCTGACAAGATTTACAACTTTTAAGTTGACAAAACAATACAAACAAACTATTGGACTGGTCTGGGATATTTGCCAAAACGTTCACTTTAATTCATCGAAAGTGTTATTTGGCTGATATCTGGCGTCCGCTGCTCTACTATCTGACCCAAATAATAACACCAGAAATGTACACTAGATAAAGCCCTCTATGCCAATAGTTCGTCAATGGATTTCAATAGCTAAAGGAAGTGACAGCTTAGTTCATTGACCTGGACTCCAAGACGTAGTCGACGAACACGGGACTGTCAACGGAAATACGTTTAAGGTTTGGTAAATGCTTGTCTTTTAAATCGTCAGAGCATTAAACAGACGCAAAAATGTTTTGTGATTATTGCGGAACGTATAGAAAGCACCAATTTCTCTGGTCACACGTGATCGTGAAACATTGTGGAAGCACGTGCCCATCGCATGTGGTGTCCTTCCGATCGACCGCTACACCGCGCAGGCGCGTTCGAACCCTCAATTCTACGACTCGTCTGCAACCCTACGATGCATTACGCATTGCCGGCCCCTGACGAAGTCCTATCGCTTGTTGAATGTAAATAGTTGCCAAGAGACTCGTCACATGTGAAATCTCTAAAAACATAAGATTTTAAATATATTGAGTAATGCATGTAGAGATAACCGGTTCTGTTGCAATTAAGCAAATATATCGTGATTTTTTATTAGTAATGAGATAAAACTTTCACATTGCTTACTATTATATTGAGGGCATTAAATATGAGAGATAATAATAAATTTTAAATCGAAGAAAAATTAATCTCAATATCTGTTCCGGTTAGTGAAAGTTGCATTTGAAAATGCTCTGGAACAAGTAGGACTTCTAGGAGATAGTTGTTCTAACAAACTTAATCAATTGTGCTCACACACATCGGAAAATTTGAAGTTTGTATTTACGCAATTGATTATATTTTTGAATATATTATTACCAAACTTGTAAGTATGTAGTTTCCATTACAAAGATTCCCAAAAAAATATACACATTAGGTTTATATATAAAACACACATTAGGTTCCAATATAAAACATTGTTACTTGATGATTTACCTCTACGCCAGTAATAATACCTTATATTAGTGATATTTGCGTTTTTGAACTTATTCTGGTATAAAAACACATTAATCAAAAATTGAGATAGGTGATATTTTTATAAAAATGGCATATTGTTTTATTTAGAAATAACCGAATAGTTGGAAAAAGAAAATTTATCATAGAGAACATGATACCCGAGTGGGACTGGTATCGCAATATCTCTAGTTGCGTTAAACGCCATCTAACGCCTTGTGCCACTTAACGTAAGTATATAGCATGCAATATGTTTGCTATAAGCCTGTCCGTAATGCTTTATAATTCTTCTTCTATAACAGTACCATAGAGGGCGTTGATTTGATTTTTTTTATCAGAGGATCGATAACATCTGTATCAACGACTGGATTATTGTAATCTTCTTAATTTAACACTCAATTTGTAATTACTAATGATAAATATTAGATAAGAAAAGAACCTTACCTTTTTTGAAATGAAATATTATATCATTAGACTTTATATTGAAAAGTGAGTGCTTCAATTTGACTATTTTTGGATATTGGTGCTGATAAAGCTGATTAATAATAACTTTTAGTTAAATAATATGAAAATAATAAATATATATTTTTTGGGAGATTAGTCGAAATCCTAAAAAAAGTTTTAATGAGTAAGATAATAAAAGTGAATTTTGAATGGATCCAAAATACAACTCGTTCAAAAGTATAGTTTTAAAGTAAAATTTTCTTATAGGAACTACCTATAAGATTTCCCTAAGTATGTGCTCATTTAAATAGTCAGGACAACATCTTCGGGTCAGTCCATTAATCATGTGATCTTTTCCAGTAATTTTAACCCCTCTTCCTCTAGTTGTGATACATGGTAAAGTTTAAGATTAATTTTAATTGCAGAGTGCCAGGGACAATGTGAATTTTCTAAACGTTTTTCATCACGAATATTTTTCAGTATAGCACTGTGAATGCAAAATTGATCAAATATAATAAAAAGAAATATATAAGTCAGGATTGATGACATATACTCATTTACAATTACATGAAACTCCCCTAGTGAGTTTTACTAGTCTATTACAAAATTTTTGTTTGACAAATTCGATTCAACAAATTACATAAGTTACTAACATATTTTTTATTTGTGTAGATATTATGTTGTATTTTGTGTCATTTGATAGTTTCAGGGCTAAACTGGATTTATTACAATTTAATTAAAATACAATAATCGCGCATTTCATCAATGCCGAAATCGTCGCAAATTATTTTCCGTTACAAATTTGTAAAAAAAATGTCATTGCAATCAAAATAATGTCATTATTATTAGTTAATATTTCTTTTCTTTTTGTACTTCTACCATACTGTTTTGTGCGTAAGCGTAAATATGACAACCTTACGCACGACCGCCGAACGTAGGTATGAAAAATGAAATAAACGCTTGATTACTTTCTGGTGTATTCTGTAACATCACGCAGTACTCTATAACTTGGCTGGATAAAGTGAAAACTGCGTTTGAATTACACGTGATGAAAGATAATATAAAGATGTAAACACGCAACTCTGTAGTTGTAAACAAATAGGGCAATGTACTCGTAGAAAAGTACAAAGTTAATACAAGAACATTTCTGATTTTTCATTCACAATCTGACGACAACTTTGTAACTGCCTATATTAATATTATAAAGAGGAAAGATTAGATTGTTTGTTTGCATTCAATTATAGGATCCGAAACTACCGGACCGTTTTTAAAAATTATTTAACCTACGGATAGCTACGCCATACGCAGGTGAAAGGCTATTATAAAATAAAGTTTAAGTCAAAATAATCTTTATTCAAATAGATTTGTACTTTTGTGTCGTTCCCCGCAACAAGATTCCGTAAGACATTACACTATGAATGTAATCTAAGTATACTAATGTGGCAGTATCTATATCACTTAAATTCATTACGGCATATGGTGCATAGTTAAATCTATTCGACAAATTATCAATATGTGGGTCCCACTGACGTTTAGAATCTAGTGTAATACCTAAAAATAATGTGGTATCCACAAGGATCATGTTATCTTTCATATGCACAGTAATATCTACTTTTATTACGCAATAAAAATTTCGTGATTATCATTTATATCAATAAAAAATAACTTTCGACCCAGGTGAAAAAAAAATGACAATTGTTTTGGTACTTCTCATTACAGGATGTCCACCCCACGTAAAGTTTGAAATCTCATAACTGCTTTTCAATTATCATTCATTTCAACGACATAACAATGTGCGATCGGTATAGTATAGTATTGGTGAGGTACTAAGTAATTAAAGTACCAATAGAAATACGGGAACATTCAAAGCACCGTCTCCATCCAGTTAACAAAGTCTTATTACATAGAAATTTTTACCAGTAACTATGGTAACAGACATAAGATTCGTTTGCAACGCACGATACAATTATATTACAAGTATTTAAAAAAATTATATGTGTCAGGCAATAATAGCTTATACTACTACTATACCAACATATGTAATAATACTTCCTGGAAAATACTAGTTTTTCGCTTGCAGCTTCGGCTACGTGATCCCTAGGGAACTGTTTATTGGGCAATCGATTCATATCATGACGATTATAGCCTATGTTCACCGAATATTATGATGTAGTTTCCCGTAGGTGAAACAATTTTTCAAATCGGTCCAGTAGTTTCGAAGCCTTTTTCAAACAATCAAATGTTTGAAAAATTCTTTATAATATTAGTAGTACAATAAAAAAGCGACAACAATCACTAATCATATAAGGTCGTTAAATGAATTATGGTGGCTCTAACAGTTAATCTATACTTTTGTTTTTGTGTGAGATAATCTTCAGAAATAATCATCCGACGAAAATTATTTCACCTACGGCAAGCTACGTCATACGCGGGTGACAAGCTATAATTTACAAGTCACGTGAATATTGCTAGTATCCGATAAATCAGTTTCAGAAAATCAACCAGAATCTCATTTATACTTCCATTCATTTAATCAACATAAAACTACATCAGAAATAGAAGATTGTTTCAGAGACATTTTCAGAAAAAAATATACTTCGTTTCTACCTTAGGATATTATGATTATTGAAATATCATTAATCAATGTTATATTGATTATAATAACATTATTAGTTAAATTCATTAAAATATCAACGACCTTATGTAAGTAGATATTCATTGTTACATGCAGCATGCAGTTGCAGTTGGCACGCCTCATTGAGTAATTTATGTTACAGTCCATTGAGGACACTGCTTTGTTTAAACATCTTTCTCGAT